ATGAACAAGTCAAATCTGTCTTTTCTCTTTGCCCAGCAGGAGGTAATCAGACACGGATGCTCTATTTCCCGCACAAGCTGAGCTTGAAAAATCAACTCAACAAGGGGATGCAGTGCAGGTCAGCACACTATCGAGTGTCTTTTGCCACAGAAAGACCTGTTCTAAGGAAACAGGGAGATAGCAGAAAGGTGGAAGGGCAAAGGAACTAGCTTCATCCTCCCTTCCTTCATTCCCCCATTTGGAGCTGAGAGCGCGGCTCGGTTGTTCTGCATTTGTACTGAGTTTAACATGTAGGATGAGTCATTAAATGAGCACCTACAGCCCCCCAAAATTATAAGCATGCAGCAATTAAGCTGAGGAATTTGACAGAAATAGTAGTGCATATAATTTAGTTCCTTCCTAACTAAACGCTAACAGGCATTTATTAAATAAGTTAGTCACAATGCAAATACTGCACCCCCTCATGGCTAATACTGAATCCTCTGCAAGAGCCACTATGATGGTAGGTTCTTCACGTGTGTGCTACTAGGGACAAAACCCTCCACAGACACTGAAAGACACTTTGGACACTGTGGAGCACGTCCAAAGAAGGGCAACGAAGCTGGTGAAGGGTCTAGAGAACAAGTCTTATGAGGGGCGGCTGAGGGAAATGGGGTTGTTTAGCCTGGAGAAGAGGAGGCTGAGGGGAGACCTTATCGCCTTCTACAACTACCTGAAAGGAGGTTGCAGTGAGGGGGGTGTTGGTCTCTTCTCCCAAGTAACAAGCGATAGGACAAGAGGAAATGGCCTCAAGTTGTGCCAGGGGAAGTTGAGATTGGATATTGGGAAACATTTCTTCACCGAAAGGGTTGTCAAGCATTGGAACAGGCTGCCCAGGGAAGTGGTTGAGTCACCATCCCTGGAGATATTTAAAAGACCTGTAGATGTGGTGCTTAGGTGGACATGGTTTAGTGGTGGACTTGGCAGTGCTAGGTTAACAGTTGGACTTGATGATCTTAAAGGTCTTTTCCAACCTAAATAATTCTATGATAATAAAACAAGTGTCAGTCAGGTATGTGCTCTACTAGTCTCTTCCAACCTTAATGATTCTATGATTCTATGATATTGACCATTTTGAGTAGCACTAGAATATTTTCAGTAGTTTGATGTAATTTACTAATTTTAGTCGATCAGATTCTCTGTTGCAAAGTATACTTTGATGAAGTATATAATTATCATACATTTTTCCCATATATAGGCAGGCCTTCAATAATTAAGTATACTCTGCTATCAAGAAGAGAGTTACACCTACTAACATCTCTTTCAGAAGAGATTTACCTGATCTTCTCCCTTTTGTTCTAGGTCAATTCATATTAGTCCTATATGTACATCATGACTAAAACACAAATTTATCCACCTGCACGCAGGAACAGGAAAGGGTTCGGTGTGGGGATACAACTATGCAAAATGGATCCTGTGACAACAAACATTTACAAAAGCTAGCATTGCAAAGGAAGCCTGAACTTTGGCACTTTCTGACATCTTCACTGATACATTTTACAATCCCAGCAAGTATAGATTTACTGGCAGGACTAAAGGACATGATTCTACTTCCACCTCGGCAATGCCTCGTACACATCATATTCTATTGCTACTCTGAAATGGTCATTTATTTCAGTTTTTCACAGACCCATCAGCATAATTAAAACAGGACTGTTTTAATTGGTCTGGCTGTTGCCTGGAATCTCCAGGCAAGTGGTCCCTGAACCTTCATGGCATGAGTAATGCTGCCTATCCAGAATAATCAATGCGTATTAGATGTGTGAGACTTACTGCCTTACAGCAAGCCCAGATTACTTTTGCGTTCTAGTTGTCAGGGGATTTGGAGATACTGAAACTGCAGAATTAAAAAAAGACACTGAGAACTTATGCAACAATTCCACACGGTATTAGAGTTTCCAGAAGGGGCACAAACCCTTCATACTTCATAACCCTAATCTAACTAAAATGGTGATGGTGGGAAAATAAGTCATCTTGTGGCATGTGCTAATTCTTAATAGTTTATTTTCCAGGTTCTTCTAAACACCTTAAATGCTTTGCTAGGCATTGTCAGAGACAGGATAAAATAAATCAGTAGTGCAGACGAGCTTAGCCATTTTTCTTAGTATGTACATACTAGCTTTAACTGAGGGCATAATTTCAAATTAAAAATTAAGAGGGGGATGGGGAAAAGATACACCATTCCAGTATGGATTTTTGCAACAGCTTTTTAGAATGGCTTTGATGAATATCTTATCGTATGATTTCCCATGGTCAAACTTTTCTTGGTATCTTAAAAACATAAAAACCTCAGTTAAAATTCATGCATTCCCAACCTTTTTAAGTCTTGCAAGCAGACTGGCTACATGTTCATGCTGCTCTGCTCTGGCAAGATCTTCTGCTGTTTTCCCATCCTGTTAAAACACAAATTATTAGCAGCAGTTCCTTCCTTTTGTTCACAATAAAAATGTCATATGCAACACAGCTCAGCTGCTCAAGGCTGTAACAGAATTGCCGTCAGAGACAAATGAAATAGCGAGAAGAAAAAACCAAACAAAAAACCACCAAAACCAACCAGTAACAATTACCCCCCATCAGAATCCCTGTTTTTTTTCAATTGTCCAAAAAAAAAAATTGTGCAATGCAGAACAACGGCACATTCAATAGGCATTTGGATGCCACTGTAACAAGGTGCTTTGAATTCAGAGCCTGAGACTGATGCCAATACTCCCCATCTGAATTCCTCTTCTCTTCTCACCTATTAGAGGATGACAGCAATTTCTAGATATTACATACTGAACAGATCTAAAAGTTTAAACAGTTCACAAAGCGGGGACGCATCAGCATATTCACTCACATGAATAGCAGGTGAATTTTGTTTACTAATGGATAAAGAATGACAGTGGCATGTCACTCACTGAAGGTTTCCAGAAAGTAAGAACATTGTAAGGGATATGGTTTAAAATGCATCAGCAAATTTAAAAGGAGAAGCAAAGCTGCCTTCAGCATTCTGGTCTTGCCATTTAATTACCCATGTTTCACAGGTCAGCAGTTTAATATTAAACAGGCTGAAAGAAAAATTGCTCACTACTTTCACTCTTACAACTACATTAATGCTATTGTGTTGTTTTAAGTTTTGGTAAGAATTAACTAATTTATGAGCACTTTGTTTCTTTCAGTCTCTCAGATAAAAGCTTTCAATTATTAAGAAGTAGTACTGGAAAAATAACATCTCTTTCTTGGGTTTCTAGCTTTGATTTTACTAGCTTTTCATGCGAAACCTGCATTGTCTTAAAATAGTTCCTGAGGTTACTGTAATTATTATCCCTATACATGAAATAAGTATCTTCAACAATTGAGTGTCCACCTACAGAAGCCATTTTCAGGTTTCCATAAAAATTATCATGTACTCCAGAACTTCAGATAATTCAGACAGAACAGAAAGAGAGCATTAGCAAGAAACAGCCAAAATTGTAGTTGACGGCGTGAACTGACTAAATTTGAATGAGTACCTTACCCTTAAATTCCCTCCCCAGTTGACATGTAATTGCAACTTTAGTAAAGAACCACCTGAATGTATTTTTTAAATTAATTTTCCTTAGAGAAGATGTATCAAATGGGAAGGATCTCGTTGTCTGTGCTGACCCTACCCTCCCAATCCCAGTAAATCCCGAGTGCCTGCTGTATGAGAGGAAGAGTGGTCTAATGGCTGGGCATCTAGCCTGCCATGAGAACTGCTTCAGTACTTCTAGTGCTTCCAGAGTTTCCAGTGTTGGGCACATCCAGGGGAATCCAAAACCTTCAAATAAAGAGGAAACCTGGATCCCCTTCCCGAGAATCCCTGTGGTAACAGGATGTGGCCTTCACCAACCTAAAGAGTGAATTTTATCTGGATCCTCACATCGTTGACCTCCTCTTAAGTCCAAAGCAGGACCGCTATAGCCTGGCCCTGCACTCTTCCAGAGCGCAGCATGTTCCTGTTGCAACGTAAGGTTGGAGATGGCCTGGCGAACTCCAGCACCAAGCACCTATGCAGTGACAGATCCCTGCACGGGCATTGTCCCTTTAAATCAGAGCAAGTCCCACACATCTCAATGGGTATGCCACAACTGCTGTGGCATGGCTTGGGTAACTTGAATCCCTTGCTTGCTGTGTCTCATTGCTCCATGGAGGTTTGTTCTGTCTTCAAGCCTGGCTTTGGCTCAACAGCTGTACTCTGATATATCGTTTGTTTAGCTCAGTTACAGTTATTTGGGCACGAACACAAAGGAAATAACCATCTGGTGAGTATTTGGCAAGGAGTGTGGATGGCAGTGGCTCAGACAGAGCCCGATTGGCAAGCGTGTTTATAATGGGATGGAGGTGACTGCTCCCAAAACTGGAAAAATGGCAACAGGAATGTTTCAAATTGCTAAAAGTCTAAGCAGATGTGTGCACAGAGCAAGCATACCTGTAACAGTGGGATGGCACTGTCATGACCCAGAGCTCCCTCCCTACTTCCTTACAGGTTCCTGAGCTCAAGACCAGCTGTCTAATCTTGGTTCAGACTGCTGTGAAGGCAGACGACCTGAAAAGAAGCCCCATCAGAGGCTTTTGCCTTTCACTCAGGCGCTCTTAGGTTCAGGCTTTTGCCCTTGGTCCTCATCTGAGCAACACTACAGCTATATGCCTGTGTGTGGCCATGTATCCCATTGACCCGGCCCCTGACTTCCGGGTTTGACCTTTAACTTGTCTTTTCACTACAGACTTGCCCGGCAATCATTAGACCCTTGGCTGACCATGGTCACTGAGTCCGATGCCTGACCTTGACTATCTCAGACCTGCCTCATTGTTACAGACTTGTCTGGTGACCCGGACTCTTGGCTGAAGCTGATTGCCATCACTGGACCTGCGCTGCTTGCCTTGCTTGGGTACTGCGGGACTGGGCCCTTGTTGGTGAGGACACCGTCACTGCTTGCCTTGTTGTTTACTCTTGGCTCACCTTCTCTTACAGAGCAATGCCTTAGCAAGGGCATTGCCTGACAAGCATCATTTCTGAAGTCTGTGGTCATCAGACCACACAGTAAACACGACAGGCAGAAAGGCCCGTGGAGTAGGTGAAGGATACCCCGGAGCACTGGTAACAAGCACCAAGTACAGCAGAAAGAACTCTAGGTCACATTTACCTCAAAAAAGCATTTTTTTGCATTCACAGCAATGTGTGAACACATTGACAGATGCTAGCAGTTCACACATCTGTTGAAAATTTAGATTCAGATCTGGAAGCTCAATTTAGTGATTGAGATAACAGGTGGAAAAAGCATTTGCTTCCATGAAAAAGAAGTTAACAGAACAAAGTTCCCTTTTTTGTCCAAAACTGTGAACAAGATGAGGCTGTTTAATTCACTGGATGTCTACTGCAGGATGAACTGTAGAGCACAACAAGAATTAGAAAATGCATATTCAAGCAAAATAGCAAATGGGTTTCAGTAAATTATCTTCCTATTCAAACTTTTCTGAAAAGTACAGGGTATCTGTACACTGGAATAACAATGAGTAAGCAAAGCTGGCATCTGAAAAGGGCTTGGTTACAGGATCCACAAAAGTGTATTTCACACTTCGTGGTAATATTTCATCACAATTACTGACTAGCTCCTTTGTTGCAAATCAGACAGCTATGCCTGCAAGAGCTGGTCCTGAGTTTAACTGGCCATTTGCAAGCATCATCATTCAAAGTTTTTAAGCAATCTGACAACTTTAAACTTGGTACAATTTTAGTAACTTCCGTGAAGAGAAGCCAAGAACATGGTGCCAGCTAGCACGTGAGCACAACAGAATTTTTGGGAGGATATTCAAACATTGGAAATGATTGTATACTCCAGGAGCATAAGGTTTTCTAAGGTCACTTAACAACATTCATGCAATCAAATTCAAAATCAAACTAGTCCAAAAATGGGCTTTAGCCTGGGGAGGAGGCAGGGAAATCATACTGCAGCCCAGTTACTAAACAGTGCTGAAAAAATTATCTCCTCAGAAATGGCATTCTGAGAGAAGAAAAAGGTAATTCATTCTACTGCACTGGCTCAGAAACAGTAGTTAGTAAGACTTTTCAGAACAGTTTAACATCCACCTACCAAACTAATGCAAAACTGAAATGCTATTAAAATCACCACAGGTACTTCATCCCTTCCTCTCCTCCTTTTCCCTCCTCTCTGCCACAATACTGCTGGAATAATGGATAGTTATGTATATTCAGTCTGCCTCTCCTGCCAGATTTAGTATCAGCACGATTTACTTTGTTATCGTCTTCAAACTGATCTAAACTAAAGAGATAAAAAGTACTTTTATGTTGGAAGGACAGGGTCCACACAGGCAATTATACCAACACAGCCATCATGATATAAATGAAGTGATACAGCTTAAGAATTCCCCCATCACGTTTTTGTTATATCTTAACTCTACAGTATGTAGTAGTGAAAATACAGATACACAATGGGACATAGGGAGGAAAAAAAAAGAAAAAAGAAAAAAGGGACAAAAACAGGTGACAAAGGAAAATCTGTAGAACACCCCACAAAGTCCACTGCATGCACATTTCATTATTATTGATTAATAGGGGAGATGACAATCTACAGTCTAGTAGTTATCAAAAAGTCATTCTTAGATGCTAAATTTGTTTAAGCTACAATTCCAAGTTCATTGGTTTTAATGCCTGGTTTTTGAAGGCTTCCTCCTGCCACATGACACACACACTTAGAGGAATAAACCACAGTGCTAAATGTGTAGGAAAACAACAAAAACATTTGTATTTTCTACCAAATGGGTAAAGTAAATGAAATAGAAGTTTTATCCTTTTTCCGTCCATTTCAGCCGCCTCAGGGATACTTCGTAAGGAAAAGAACTTTGACTCAACTAAAATCTACTCACAACATGATTTCAATATACAGAGCAATAGTTATTTCTGAGCAGATTGCACTGGTTAGGGCAAGCAGCAATATAAACTGATCCAATGCATCTGAAAATAAAAGTTAGTTTGTTCAAAACACATGTAATGGTGTATATGACGGCTATAATGTATCATGTGCGTATGAGGTATGCATGATGAAGGAGGCTTCATTCCTGGTGTGGATATGTCAGCTAGGAGGACGTTTCTCACCTTAGTGAGAACGAAAAATACCCTCAGTGGTGCTAATTGGAAGCAGTGGTGCTGACTGATCTGACATAAATAATTTGTTTTACAAGGATAGCTGCATGCTAGTTCACTCATCCATGCATCCACACATCTCCCATCATGAAAATAAAACTTTTTAATCCCCTGAAAGCAAGAAAAATATTTAAGATATATAGAATACATTTGTACGGTAACAGTACGTGATGTGAAATGATGTACATCTTAATGATAGTGGCCCACTGTGCTTACAGAAAACACAATGTTACAAGTAATTCTTAGGTGTAGATGAAGTGGTAGCTGTACTGTACCTTAATCAGTTTCAAATTCACTTGTAAGAAGGGAACAAGTGGACAACAGAGTGCTTTTCAAGCTGTGCACATACAACAGCCTAATTCTTTTTTTTTTTTTAATTTCAAAATGTAATTATATTAGACCATTGTCCTTTCCCCCTCCCACCCTCTCTAAGAGATGAATTCGTTTCCTACTATCATACATAAAAGAAGCACGAAGCATAACAGTATCTCTCAATACTTACAGAGGTTAAAGCTTCTACATTGGCACCAGTAAGACACAGGAACCGGACAACATCAAGAATGCCATTGTTTGCTGCCAGATGTAAAGGTGTTCTTCCGTACTAACATGGGGAAAAAAGTGTCATGACGTTAGTCAAAGAACTTAATTCCAAATTTTATGACTAATAATCAAACATATTGTACGATCATACATACTGATACACAGCAAAGGTCTTGCAAAAACTGTAAGAAAAAGTACTTTTGGTTACAGCTTAAGCACAACTGCTTAAAGCTCAATTAAAAACAAAGGCTAGATTGACTACTTAAAAAATGGGAAATGATTTTATAGCTAAATCCCCTGCAACTGTGGAGGAATCCTTTAGAGTTTTTTGGCTGTATTTGAGAACGTCTTTCTAGTTCCCAGTAAATTTAATTGCATTTTGCTCAACTAAATATGAATCAGTTAAACAACACTAAGTCCTTAACCTTTAAAGCTCTGGATTCCATTTCAATCCAAGTATTACTGAAGATTACATATCTGCAGTCTCCCCCTTCCACCCAAAGGAGTAAGAGAGATGAATGCAAGAAGTCAGCCCGAAGGACTTTCTGCTTTCAGTGACAGAGGGAAAGTGCTGTAAATATTGCTTCCCCAATTTTTGCTTTTCCCCCTGAATCTCTCCACAGACAACAGGTCCTCATGACATCAACTTCTGGTCTTTCATGTTCAGAGCTACTGTTAAAAGTATCACTACCACATACTCTCTCTGCTTGTAACTCCCCTTACTATTACTTCACATATTTTCATGCTTCCAATACTGTTCCCCCTGTTTCAACCCTACATTCAGGAACAAACTCCCAAAATTAGTTCACAAAAGAATATTTGAAAGCAAAGCTAACTTTCTGACAACTGGAAACTGAAAAGATGCCCAGCTCCTCAAAACCCTACACCTCAACCTGAACTCAAATAGCATCCTGGCTTGCATCAGGATTGCATTCACTTGGGCTCTTTCTTCATGGATCTTTAATCATCTATTCAACTGAAACAAACAGGTAAATTTGCAAGGCGAGGCATTTAATGCTTTGCATTTGGCCACTTTAAGAGGTAAAAAAAATAAAAGGAAAAACATTTTTCATATCAGAGACCTGGAAAAGGTCATCTAATGCAATAGGTGAGCCATTAAACAAAGTAGTTCAGTACCCGTATTCCATTTACCTTATTAGTGACATCCAAATTACAACTTGCTTCACAGAGTGCCATCACAATAGGAACATTCCCATCTTTGCAGGCCACATGCAAGGGTGTGTTGCCATGTCTGTCTTGGAAATCTACAAAACATCCTTGACTGATGAGAGTTTTAACTACTTCTATTTGGCATCTTCTCACAGCAAGGTGTAGGGCTATATGACCATCCTGAAATCACAAGACAGCTTGTAAGTGAGATTTAATAATGCTAAAAATGAAAGCATTTTGCAAAGTCACAATCATTTAATGTAAATGGATGCATCTCCTTGCCTCAAGAATCACAATGGTTTTTATTTTTATTTTGAGGGTGGAGGCAGGGAGATGCACAGTATCTGTCAGAACAAATCAGCTATGGGATGAAAGCAAACTTCTGTTAAGCCACTGGGCTTTGCTGTGGAATGGATGAAATGCAAATACACATTCTCTGCTGACGACTTCCCTAGGAGGTGTGAGAGTGACCAACTCTAACAACCAGCTGAATATTGTAAACCAGTCTAGTGTTTACTGACAGAAGATAGTGATGCAAAAGTCATGCAATCTGCTTAGTGATCAGTAACTTTAGAGACAGAGCTTTCTCTCTCTGTGGAACAACTTAAAGAGACAATGTAACTGGAAAAAATAATTTAATTCTTTTAGAAGCAAAGGCATTTTTGTGAACTTGCTTTAATAACTATTTAGTAACTACCAGCAATAAAGGCAGCTAAAAGGACAAGCATACCAAAAGTACAAGCAATGAAATGCAAAATTTATTTGTTGGGATTACACCATGAAAGACAAAAACCGATTCTGAATCAAATAGAGTTTTATTTTTAAATAGTCAGAATTTAGCTTATTGGAAGTAGGTGTGATTTATCCAACCCATAAGAATCAAAGGCAAACAGTAAATCCATCTTTTTTTCCTTAAGTTAATAGTTTGTTGCCAATTACAGAACCCAATGTTCCTGCCATTTTTCATAGAGTGTTACTCATAAGGTGATAATTGATAAGGTGATAATGAATCAGTAAAAACCCAATTGTGGAAAAATAATCAGTGGGCAACTTTAAAGACTATTGCAGTCATCAACAGTCTCTGTGTGA